CTTTTCCGTCATATAAACGTAAATGAAGAATGGAGACTTGACCCATTAATATTCAAAAATCATTTTTATGGCTCTAATTAACCCATTTTCCACTAGTTTTGCTTTTCTCTCAACTTTAAAAACAAATTATTGTCGCCCACTTGGTGCAGTGGGTAGAGCGTTCGCTCTAGAGTCGCGGGGTAAGGAGTTGACCCTTACGATGAGGTTCGAATCTCACTGTGGGACGTGGAGACCGATCCTTCGGATGAGACCGTATAAACCGAGGTCCCATGTCGCAGTAGGTGCTGGCACAAAAAAGATCCCTCACTGCTCAATGGCCCTAAGTGCCGAGTATAGGTCAAAATTTGTAGCTCTCCACCGGCAAGTGGTGGCATCTCCATATGAGTGAAAAATTCTCGAGAGGGTCGTTAAACAATAAACAAAAAAAAATTAAAAAAAAAAAATTGTCAATCAAAAAGTCATTCAATAAAATAACTGAATATAATGTGTTGAAGAAGACATTACGGAAAACATTATTTTAGAAAAATATTACTTTTCCGTGAACTTTGAAAATTGAGAAATATATTGTCCAGGAGCGGGGGATTGCCCTCGCCTTGTACGCCCCCTTCTTTAGACGTTTACTCAGAGCCATTGAGCAGTTAGGGTTCTTTCTCGTGCCAACGGCTACTGCGAGACGGGGCCTCGGTTTTAAGGTCTCAACCGAATGCCCGTAACTTTCACTTTAAAGTGCCGAGCGCTTGGCGAAGGGACAGTTGCTACCCATTTTTTATTGACTAGGTCAGTCGAACAATCTTCCGATCACGGAGCGAGCGCTCTACCGACTGAGCTACCGTGACGGTTATCCTTCTTGAATGTGAATTGGGGGGGGGGGGGGGGGAATGATCGATAACTCTCTTTAAAAATCTTTAAAAAATCTTTGACAAGCAAAATAACATTCATAATACTATAACAATGAAAATGATAAAAAAAATCAAAAAAGAGGATTGATTGATTGATTGTATGTTGTTTTACGTCCCATTCGAGAATTTTTCACCCATATAGAGACGTCACCATATACCGGTGAAGGGCTTCAAATTTTGACCTTTACTCGGCACTCAGGGCCATTGAGCAGTGAGGGATCTTTATCGTGCCAACGCCTGCCGTGACACGGGGCCTCGGTTTTTAAGGTCTCATCCGAAAGACCCGCAACTTTCACTTCAAAGTGCCGAGCGCATGGCGAAGGAACAGTTGCTACCCATTTTATCGACTTGGGTCTGTCGCGGCCGAGATTCGAACTCACGACCTCCCGATCACGGAGCGAGCGCTCTACCGACTGAGCTACCGTGAACGGTCAAAAAAGAGGAGGAAAATTATCCAAATCATATCCGAAAATACTATTCCATTGGGATGGGGATATTCCTCAAACATTATTGATAAGGAAAAAATATAAATACATTTGACATTCGGGGACTTGACTAAAAGCAATGTGTGTTTGTGAAACACTGGTGCACCCTATTTGGCAGCTTTTAGCGAAGGTTAAACTTTCTGAAATGCAAATCAAACTCTAAGGTCAAGAGATAAAAGAATGTTGTTACCCAAAAAAAGTTGTTGTCTCTATAACTATACCTTTGAAATGTGAAAGCCCAAGCACTAACCATTCAAAAGTTATGGCCAAGGTTTAAGTTTTTCAAAAGTAAGTCAAACTCCAAGGGGTAAGGTCAAAAGGTCAAAATTGTTGGTATCCAAATGAAGGCCTTGTCACAAGGAATACACCTGTGAAATATGAAGGCCCTAGTAATAACTGTTCAAAAGTTATGTCCAAGGTTAAAGTTTTTAAAAGTGGGTCACATTCAAAGGTCAAGGTCAAAATTTTTTATATCAATTGAAAGTACTTTTCACAATGAAAACACATGTGAAGTACATTTATGAAAACCTTAGTGCCAACTGTTCAAAAGTTATGACCAAAGTTAAAGTTTGGCTAATTCTTGCAAAAGTGGATCAAAGTTCAAGGCAAAGAGGTCAAAAATGTTGATATTCAAAGAAAGTTCTTGTCACATGGAATACACATCTGAAACATGAAAGCCATAGCTCCAACCAATCAAAAGTTATAGGCAATGTTAATTTTTTTACGGATAAACAGACAAACAAACAGACAGACGGACGGACAGGACAAACTATGTACCCTCAAATCTTCGTTTACGGGGGCATAAAAAAAGTGGGAGAGGCAATGTCTTTCAATGACTAACAGTAAAACAATGTGGGAAAAGGAGGATGAGGCATCGAATATGAATACTAAGTGCCCACAAGATTGTGTGCGAAAATTAAAAAGTAAATGGCAACAAATTTACCGGCAATCTTATTTGAAAAGAATTATTTTTTTAATAAAACATTTTTTATGTTAAGTCATAGTATGAAATATTTTAACCATTAAATTATTTACACCGTTGTTTTAAATTTGTTTTTCTGAAAAGTATGGGGACAACTGCACTTAACCGGTACGTAGAATTATAAAGGAAGTAGCAGTGCTTCTCCTCTATAAATGAGGCACGCGTCAGCGTGCCGATTTCGTTAAAGAGGCAATAAAATGGCAAAATGAAATGATTTTTGAATTCCTCGCGTTTTTTTATGTTAATAAACTTCGTTTATATAACGAAGTATATTAATCCAAATTATAAACGATTTCAAAACAAACCTCTGCATCTAAAGTTATCGTCCACATTCCAAAGTCGTGACGTTGCTAACCACGTGACTTTTTCCAACCATTTAATTGATTAAAAGTAAAATGACGTTAATAAAATAAAATCAGCTGATTTTACTATGCCTTTCGTTTTATGAATTATGTAGAGAAAGAGGGTTTTTAATTGATTGGCTGCAGCAATTGGATCTTCTAGGAAATTTCAAAGGAGATTGTGAAGTTTGCCATTCACGTAAATTAAATTTGGTTGAAGATATGTCTTATAGCTCCGACGGTGTTGTCTGGCGCTGCACTAATCGTAAATGCAGTAAGAAAACATCCATTCGAAAAGGATTCTTGGTTCTCTGGGACACATTTATTACTAGAACAGGCAGTGAAATTGACATATTATTGGGTGTACGAACTTCCTGGTAATTTCATATCCAGGGAACTTAAAATTGGGAGCGAACATACAATTGTTGATTGGAAGAATTTTGCAAGGAAAGTATGTGTTTGTGTATTGGAACAAGACAGTGAAAAAATTGGAGGGCCTGGAAAACATGTCAAAATTGATTAAAGTCAATTTGGGAAGCGGAAATTTCACAGAGGAAAGCGAGTAGGCGGAGTATGGGTATTTGGAGGAATAGAGAGGGAGTCTAAGAAGTGTTTTTTTTTTCATGTTGTGGCCGATAGAAGTGCGGATACTCTGATTCCAATCATTAAAAAGTCTGTTTACCCGGAAACAACAATTTTATCGGATTTTTGGAAGGCGTATTCTAGTTTAAGAAGTGAGGGTTATACACATTTAACTGTTAACCATTCAATTAAGTTCAAAAATAAAGAAACGAGCGTGCACAAATTTGATTGAGTCGACATTGAATGCCATATAGAAATCCTTACCGAAGACAGGAACACAGAAGCAACATTATGACGGCTATTTAGTCGAGTATTGTATCAGAAAGAAATATCTGAATGACGCTGATGACAAATTCAAGGCATTTTTAGAGCTAATCAAGCGAGTTTACAAGTGCAAAAAAACAGCTGACTCCACTCGCACCACTAAATTCAAACTCGGAAAATATTAACGGAAGTGTTTACTTGTTTGATGATAGCGTTTAAGGTAAGTACATGTATTCTATTCTTTTCATTTTTCTTCTCATATCGGGGGCTACCGCCCCCAAACCCTCGCTTTTTTAGTTGCTCAAACGCCGCTGGACTTTTTCTCGCTTCCACTGAAAACAAAATGGCGGCGCCCATTGATATTTGATACGTTGCTAAGTTTTAACACCGCGTCACTTCACGCGCGGATCTAAAATCAATATGGCGGCCGTACCGGTAAAGTGCATTCTACCCAAAGTATGAATATGAAAGCTATTAATAGCGCATATTTATATATGAAGAACAAATCTTTAGCTTTGCCCCGTGTTGATATATATTGTTATGTTTACTGTATATAATGTTAGAACGACTGCATATTATGTTAAGAGCATCTCATATAATGATAAATGTACATAATATAATGACATAACTATATCATATAATGAAAGAAATACTATAAATAATGGAAGTTACACACGATATTACATAAAAATACTTTATGTAATTAAAATGATACCACCTATAATGAAGAGGACACCGAGTATAATGTTTTATCTTCATATAAGTCATTCCCGGCGTTCCACAATTCTCCATGAGTATTTGTTGCCATGTGTGCATTAAACCAGACTTAGAAATTCTTTCATGACTACTGATACCTTTGTATTATATTCATTTCTAGGTGAAAATTGACTCGGCAAAGTGCATAATCTCAATGTTAAAATTTTAAAAGATGATATCCGATTTCGCGGATTCAACGATACCCAATATCAGGTACTATAGACGATTTCACGGATAATACCTGATTTTGAGTATTCTCCCCAACCTGGTACATGTAGCTGCAATAATGTAGCCCTCTCCATTTCTTTCTCCAGAAAATATCAGATTAAATAAAATTGGAGAGGGCTATATTATTGAAGGTTTGTTCAAAGTGCCAAGTGTTTGGAATAGAACAGTTGCTACCTATCTTTTATCGATTTAGGTCAGTCGTGGCCGAGGATTGAACCAACAACCTTCCAATCTCAGAGCGAACTCTCTACCAATCGAGTTACTTTGATGACGAAAAACCTCAAATAATTTCTAATGAGTGTATTATGTGTTCTTGTGGTGCACTTTATTTGTTAAACATTACATTAAATATCCGACAAAACAGAATAAGTTCTTGAAACAATTCTAGATTTAAAAAAATAACACAATAAGTGATATATTTAAAAATATTTTTTTTAAACATCATTGATTTTGTTATTTGTAGGATGCATTCTGTTTTACTTGTGGTGGAGTCACTGCTTTTTGGAATGTTTGTTCTTGCAATTGGTTGCGATCAGGTAATTAATTTCTTTCTGCTAACCAAAAATGTATCAAATTCATTTTTTACTCAGCTTAAAGCTCTCATGATTTTTGATATCACAATTTTTCAACGTCTGTCACTCCCTCTCTCTTTCTGTTTGTGTTTGTAATTTTTGGTTGTCCTCTTAACACTGTCCGTCCGTCTGTCTTTCCGTTTATATATATATATATATATATATATATATATATATATATATATATATATATATATATATATATATATATATATATATATATATATATACACACACGAGGGGTGATCAAAAAGTTCGCGAACTAATTGAATTACTTCCTTAAAAGAAATAAAATGAGGTTTAAGTGTTCAATATTTTTTTAAAGTAGTCCTCTCCGATTTTAATGCACATTTGCCATTGTTCTACCCATGCACGAATCACGTGATCCAGGCGGTCACGTGACATGCTTCGTAGCGGTCTGTTCACAGAAGCTAAGAGATTTTTCCGAATCTTGTATTTCTTGCAATGCAAGTATTTTTTATAACAAGAACAGACCATCTGTCAGAAATTGCTAAGTCTTGGCAATAGGATGAGTGGATAAGGATATCTCTTCCCAGAATTAGCATGGCGACCATCACAACCCGAGTCCTCTGTCTCGGGAGCGTCGTTTATCCAATGTGGAAAAAGTATGGGCGCCTTCATTTTTTCATATCTCATATGTTTAAAGTCTAAAGTAAATGTTATTTTAGGGATTTAATAATTATATTATTGCTCAGATATTCAACTATTTTTCTTACTGTAATTTTACGATCTTTTAAAACAAATTGCTCAACTAAAAACACATCTTTTTACCGGCTTGCTTTCGCTGGGCAACAGAACAAACATCATTTTTAACCATCTCCCTGCCTTCACTAAAACATTCAATCCAATTAATGATTGAACTTCTGGTAAGTCTTTTGTCTTCATAAACCTTGTACAAATTATTATATTCTACTGCAAAGGAATTTCCGAGATATACGTTACACTTTACAGCCTTTCGTTGCTCGAGTACGACTGAGTCAACCATTTTTTGTCACAAGTGACCTATATACTGACGTCATTTTCACATTGTGACGTCACAAACACGGAGCAAAACATTATTTAACATCTGCTATTTATAGAACTTGTGTATAACTATATATGTACCAAATTTCATTCTGATCTGAATTGCGGTTTTTTAAATATAGAGATAGTTCGCGAACTTTTTGATCACCCCTCGTATATATATATATATATATATATATATATATATATATATATATATATATATATATATATATATATATATATATATATATATATATATTGATCACCCTTCGTATATATATATATATATATATATATATATATATATATATATATATATATATATATATATATATATATTTATATATATTTATATATTTATTTATATATTGGTTTTCCTCTTTCCACTTAACCAATTCCAACCAAACTTGCCATAAAGCAGTCTTTTGTGAAAGTGGATACATGTAATTAACTTTTAGTGAAAAGTGTGATTGCCCTTAGTAGATGCTAGTTCAATGACTAAAATAGGTTTGAAAGAAAGAGAAAAAATTACACAATCGATGCCTTAATTGAAACTTTCCAGAATCACATGAAATAAAAGCTTTTAATGGAAGAAAATGAATCAGTGTTATCAAAATACACAGAATGAAACCATCTTTCAGCATTATCTTACACTTTTTAAAGAAGAAAAATCATGACTAAAGATGTTATTGAGTTAACTGAGTCACTTAGGTGAACTACTGCTATCTGTGTTCGTTATCCGTCATGCATCATCCGTTGGTTTGTTTTTGTTTTCTTTTTTTTTTGCTGTTTAACGTCCCTCTCGAGAATTTTTCACTCATATGGAGACGCCACCACTTGCCAGTGGAGGGCTACAAATTTTGACCTATACTCGCCACTTAGGGCCATTGAGCAGTGAGGGATCTTTTTCGTGCCAACACCTACTGCAACACGGGACCTCGGTTTATACGGTCTCATCCGAAGGACCGGTCTCCACGTCCCGCAGTGGGATTCGAACCCGCGACGTAAGGATCAACTCCTTACTCCGCGACTCTAGAGCAGACGCTCTAACCACTGCGCCACGCGGGCGACTCATCCGTTGGTCGTTAACTTGTTAATATATCCAGATCCTATTAAACTGTGTAGCCAATTTCAACAAATTTTGGAAAAGAGCATCTTTAGGCAAAATGAGTCTCGAAGGGTCGGACTAAAACCATCAAAATCAATCTAATTTTTTTAAAAAAATTGCTTTTTACTCCTGGACATCAAGGAGTGAAACCGTTGCCATGATTATAACAAACAATGAGTCCTTTAAAAATTGTTAAGTTCCTTGCCCAAGGATCAGTGATTCTGGAGTTAGCGGGCTCTATTAATCATACATGTATAATAAACATGCATAAATTCGATGAAAGACTATTTCTCTCACCCCGTATATAAAGCATTTTTTTTTTTTTTTGTTTGCTTGTATGTTGTTTAACGTCCCTCTCGAGAATTTTTCACTCATATGGAGACGCCACCACTTGCCGGTGGAGAGCTGCAAATTTTGACCAATGCTCGACACTTAGGGCCATTGAGCAGTGAGGGATCTTTTTCGTGCCAGCACCTACTGCAACACGGGACCTCGGTTTATACGGTCTCATCCGAAGGACCGGTCTCCACGTCCCACAGTGGGATTCGAACCCGCGACGTAAGGATCAACTCCTTACTCCACGACTCTAGAGCATACGCTCTACCACTGCGCCACGCGGTATAAAGCAAGTAAACTATGTGCAACATTTTGATCAGCAAGGGTGCATTTTCTAACTTTGAGAAATTCATGGTCCTAGGTCGGTGGTTTTGGTTAAAGCGAGTCTCTTTAATTAAATACAGTGAAAATGCTCAAATTCATCGAAGGTGATCTCTGCCCCTGAGTATTAAGCATACATACAAAGTGCATGGTAATGGTAATCAAAGGTAGCTCTTAAAATACTGTGAATTTCATGACCCTTGTCAGAGGTTATAGTGTAAGGTTGCATCTCTCTTGATTATTTTGTGAAAATGCATTATTTCTTTGAAGATATTTTTTTTTGCCCTGATCAATAAGCAGACATACTTAATGCAAGGTTTTCATGTGCAAGGATTCCTCCATGTTCTTCAGAATTGTGAATTTCATGTTCCCTGAGTCGGGATTATGTGTTATAGAGCTCTTTGGTCATAAAGTTAATGGTGTTATAGAGCTCTGTTGGTCATAAAATGAAAATGTCTATGAAATTCTTTGAAAATCGTGGATGTTTAGCAATCATATAAATGCATGGTGTTCATGACTGAGCAAGGATGCCTCTTCCAAAGAATGAGTGCACTTTAGTACGTCATTTGGAACCTTTTCGGCTACCCATTTTAAGCTTTACATTACAATATATCGCATAATTAATCTATGATTATTGTGCAAGCATATTCTTTTGATATTTATTCATTGAATTTTTTTGTCATACATATTTCTATAATTACAGACAATGTCATTGAAAAGAACATATACAAACCTTAAATTCCGGAAATTTGAACGGGACCACTTACGAATTTAAGGTATCCGCAAATAGGCGGAGTCATTTAAATCGCATGGATGTGGAATGTAAACATTAGCACATATATGAATTTTTTTCGCACTGCGAATTTAAATGGAGAAGAGAGAGATTGTTTAGTTTTATGGTGCACAAATAATAAATGATTCTAGTGTTTAGGGATGGGGAAGATGTCTCGCCCTGCAGACCATTATACAGAGGCGACATGAGCCTGTACATGTACTTACTAATCACACTATCAATACCAGAATTCTTTCAAAACACCCGTAATGAAAAATACAAAGTAAAATAAGAGACATATAATCTTCAAACCCTATTAAAATTTGCGCAAAAATCTTCTATAGTTTGAAGTTGGAAGTGCGATAGATACTGTCACAATAGAAACTTTCAATAACAAACACAATGAAATGCTCAATGAAAGCCTTAGCGTATCGAACAGTGGAATGTCACGTGAGTAAAGTGATTATAATATCAATCGTTGACACTCGGTGAACTGTTAATTTAGTGGCTAATTCGACCGTAGTTTGGAGACTTTTTCAAAAAATTAGATATGAGCCGCAATTTGTCCAACATTGTCCTTGGGATATGTTGAAGTTTAAATCAAAATACACATTCTGTGCAAATGAGACCAATGGACAAGTTGCGGCTCGATGTAAACAATGTCGTTGAAAACTGGTATGCATATGAGTAACAATAGAAATGTGACAAAACTGTTAGACCCCCGTCTCAAAAGCTAGTGTCGCTCGGCATTATTTAATACTTTCATGTAGTATAATATACCAAAACCTGCTCTTAAGACATTGTTTAATACCTATAAAACATAAAGTTTATGAACTTTGGAATTTTATTTTGCGCAAAACACCGGGACCCAGCTCTCATAGCTTAAGTGCACTCATCCTTTGTGAATTCCATCACTTCTGGTCAGGGGTCTGGTAATGAAGGTGGGTTTTTTTGATTATGAAGTTAAAGCTTATTTCTTTAAAAGTCTTCTTCTTTGCATCGGGGCATTAAACAATATACTAACTGTATGTCTATGATGATCATAGGTGCCACTTCCAAAATATTAAATTTTAATGACCCTGGTTCATGGTTTCAGGTGCTAGAGTTGGGCTCTGTTGATTATATACATGTACACGTATAAATTAAAAGTGCATTAATTCTTTGAAAATCTTTTCTGATTCTGGGTATTTTGCAGGCATACTTTGTGCATGATTATGATGCCAATGGATGCCTATCCAAAAATTATGATATACGTGGCCCCTGTTTAAGGGGTTCTGGTGCTAGGGCTGGTGTCTATCAATTACGTATAGAAGTGCATTATTGCCTTTACAAAAGCTTCTTTTCTGCTCCAATGCATTGAGGAGACAAACAAAATATAAAGTTGTAATGAACGAAGGTTTTTAACCAAATTTGTAAATTCTAGATCACTTGATAAAGTCTTTTGGTGCTTGGCAGGGCTCTATTTATCGTGTTTGAAAATCTGTTTATTAAAAAAAGAAGATATTTCTCTTTGTCATTCACCTTTGATAATAATTCATTGTAAATAGAACAAACATTGGAAAAATTCTTTGCAACCCCCTTAGCACGTAAAAGATCGTTTCTCTGGAATTTGAAAAAGAGAAGGCTCACTGGGGGCCTCCAGAGAAACCGAAATCCTTTCAAAAACCGGTCTAATAAACTTAATTTTCCGCCGAAATATGGCTAAAATATTGCCGACTCGGTGTTAAACAATAAACAATCGATCATTTTTTCCAGAACTCCAAAGTCATGATAACTTAAAGTCATATTCATACTGAAGGCAGTGTAGATTCAAGTTTGTTCAAATCATGACCAAACTGGGATAGGGATGGGCCGCCATGGGAGATTATAGTTTTCCTTGGGTATATAAATGGAAAATCTTTTTCCAGAACTTCAGAGTCAGTATGTCACATTCATATAGAAGCCTCCTCAGGTAGTTTTGATTTTATTCAAAGCATGACTCCCTTGAATAGGGTGGGTTCACAATTAGTAATGAAAAATTCATATGAAAAATCTTTTTAAGAACAGGAAAGCCTTTATTAGTCATATTTATATTGAAGCATTCTCAGGTAGTGTAGATTTATGTTTGTTCAAATCATGTCCCGGATATAGGGCAGGGAAACAGGAAGCGGTCAGAGTTTTTCATGGCCCCCAGGGGTAGAGTGGGGCTACAATGGGCAAACAAAGTTTTACAAAGGATGATATAGGAAGAAGAATCTGCTGCTGAAGAACAAGAAGGGTCATAATTACTCAGGTGAGCGTTGTGGCCCATGGACCTCTTGTTTATAGACTTGAATGCTAGTTGTATAGAAAAGATCGCTAACAACTCAATCCTTTTCCCGGTTTTCCATGAATAGCAACCTGCTTTGTATATGAAGCGTGAAACCTAATAATAAAATTATAAACAGCAGAGGCGGCTGTATCCCCTAAGTTAATTTTCTGAGGATCTGGCAGGTTCAAAATATACAAATATGTGATTAAGCAATATATACAGATAAATGTTGATACTACCTGTCTTTATTCTTTGATCAATTGACTCTTGAGCGATCGGCTCTTACAGCTCGCTCTTATGGTTACCGGCTCTTACAGCTCTGCTCTTAATTACCGGCTCCTACAGCTCTTTCCTTTAATACTGGCTTTTACAGCGCAATTCCTACAGTTCGGCTTTTTACAGCTCTTGCTGGCTCCCACAATCACTCTCTTAATAACAACCAATATCTTAAGCCAGGATAGACTTGTTCAGTCACGTCTAAAGCTTTAAATATTTATTTATCATTAACTAAAAGTTACCTCTGGTCATTAATGGTCCACTCGTCTTGCCTCTTCAGCATCAACTTCACAATTAACTCAACTCTGCCGCTTCACTTGTATTTATACCCTACGTGACCAACAACACCATCTAGCGGAAACATGACTAAAATACCGCTTGTACGGAATAACTTTTCCCGGATCGCCTCCCATACACATTGGGTCCATCTACATAAAATTAAGCATGTCAGATACATTTATAATTGTATCCTTTACTTCGATCTTTCTTTTACCTCATACAATGCCAAGTGTTTCCTGATATTGCCATTCAAATGCAGTAACAATGCATTCATATCTCATGGACATGTTTCTAGTTTTTATTTTTGGTAAATGTGCGTTATACATTTTCTTACATACAGCGGGCATTAAGGAGGCTCAATACACCACTTTTTGATGACGTACTACACAGAAAAATAAACCTCCATTGTTTCGTCCGTTTTCTCCTGGGGACGAATTGTACAGGTTCGCTTTGCTGATGATCTAAATCTTTAAAGCGCTCTAAAAATAGACTACACTACATGCGATGTTGTAAACAATGGGAACTTGGTAACGGATTCATAAATAAATCACGAACGAAGAAGGGTTACTTTTTAAAAGTAGAGACCAAAGAGAATGACAGTCAAATTTTCGCTACCCAACTATTGTACAATGTCATAGCGAAAGCCGCAAGTTCTATCCCTGATAACATGTATGTATAGAGGAAATTCGAGTTGAAATCTACAACCTCGTTGAAATAAATTATAATTGACTTGCGCTATTAGAGAACAGTACTCTTGTTGGTTTGTGTGCTTGTCTTTATTTCTTCGAAAAATGTATATTTATTCTAGAAATTTTAGCTTATTCTGAATCTGATATGATCAACCGTTCCTGAGTGTTTTGAGTCAGGGGGATTTAGGAAAGATAACTCTTGCAAGTGGACTTTTTATTCCAATTATTTTATAAATTGGAATTTTCATTTCCTTAAAACATTTTTTATTCAATTTGTCACTTATTATTCATTAATATACATTTCTTGTCTATTTATAACTGATTTTCCAAATTATTCATGCAAAGATTAAGAAGAAAATCACATTAATTCTTTTTTAGGAGAAAATTATTTTTTATAATAAAAATAATATTGAATATTATGAAGTGTTATTATATTTCTTACATATCTGAAGATGATATCCATCACTTGACACTGAGATTTTTGCAATACTATTAATCAGAAACTTGAAATAAAACATTTTACCAACATAGAAAAAAAGATTTAAAAATCTTTTAAAAATATTTATCGTATCATAACCTCCATTTGGATATTTGAAATCTTCATAAAAAGTGGTGCTGTAATGAAATCTAAAATAAACTGTGGGTGTAATGAGCCTCCTTAAACAAGTTTGTGTAGAAAAGAAAAGATGTCAGAATTTTTAAGCATGTACCGTTTCAATATTTCTGAACAGGTCAAGTTCGAACTTTTTATTTTTAATGTGTATAATGTTTTTTTTTTTTTTTTTTTTTTTTTTTTTTTTGTTTTTTTTTTTAAAATTTATTTTCATTATTGAAACAGATATCAGCAGTTCTAAATGATGAGACAGCAATTGAATATGTGAAGAAAGATGGACCTCAGAGGCACAAAAAATCATCCTTCGTTTTAATGCAGGAAGTTTTTGGTAGAGGTATGAGAATATGATGTAAAAAAAAAAATCATTGATTTTAAGCTATTTTTTATATTAATTCAATTCTCTGTTATATTATTCAGAAAAAATCTCATAAGAACCCTTTGAAATGAACAAAGCTGCAGGAATCTGAGTGGTTCACATACATTTTAAAAAAGAATATTATCATAATTGAAATAAAAGATTTGTTTTTTAATCCCCGTGATCAAAGATCAGAGCTGAATGAACATTGTCTTTTTCCATTGTGAAAATGTATTATCAATGATTTCATTACTTTCATAAAAAACATTTATCTTGTACAAGACCGATGTCCAATTAATCCATTTTTCCTTACTAATATGTTTTTTTTCTTTATCTTTCGTACATGTACATGATAATTTTGGGCATTTTCTAGAGGCAACATGAAAACAGTTTTGTTGTTTCTTTGAAAAATAACAGATATGACCATTTAAAGTAATTCACCATATTCCTTTCAGTCATTCAGCCCGTATATCTAAGAGACGACTTTGACGTCACAATGTCCAATTCCATACAAGTTTTTAAATTTGCTGTTATAAAAGCATAGTATGAGTATGTATAAAACATGTGAAGAAAAGTCAGTAAGCGATTTTAATTTTTAATTTTAAAAAAAATTGATAGATATAACTGTGCAATGATGTGATGACCATTTCAAAGAGTTTATTAAAGCTGAAACCATATTAATAAAAAGGACAATTCTCTTTAAAGCTGTTTTGCGGCCTACAATGACATCAAATTTTCAAGCATTATTTTTTTCTTTTAAAACCTGCATGAATCAGTAGGCTTATGATCCAATTTAAGGATAAATGTTGATTGGTAAATGATGCTATAGTATAGCTTAACCAACACCCAAATTTATATGTGGACTTCTTAAAAACATTAAAATTGACCATTTGATTATGAAATTGGTTAAAGGTGGTTATGGCATGTAGATAAAAACTTCTCCCTTCATTTTTAAGATATTTGCAGGAAAATCTAATAAATGAAAAGAAGGCTACCAGCTTATGTAGATTATTTCATAGTATAAACTTTCAAATAGAGCACAGGTTTCTGTTGAATAAACAAAAGTGATATAAGCCGTGGATTTTTACTCGAAAAATGTCAACTTTTTACCAAAAGATCGAAATTAGACGTGAAGACAATTCTCATTGACCTGTCTGCTTGAAATGAAGAAAAAATACTTTTTTACATACTAAGCAGTTAATTTAAGTTATTTCTAATAATTATTTTTTATTATTATAGTTTAGTTTATATAAGCTACATTTTTGTATTTATTCCTTAGGAGCACCGCATATGTATTAGTACTAGAAATGGTAAAGATATCTTTGTTGTAGCGGGAAGATGTTTTGCTGTTTATGTTATTAACTTATTGTTTTATAGGTACACATGTAACTTTTATAGATGGGGAATTACTGATGGGATGGTTTCATAATGGGAATTCTCGTCTCAACCTTTCAGGAGGACACTCATATTTTTGTATGAGTGACATAGGATCCAAATATTTTGTGTGATTTGGGTGTTGAGAGGACTCAATCTAATTGGATTTCAGGAAGCAACTCACATCTTTGGTAGCATCATTAGCTACAAAAGAAACATTTCTGTCTTGAAAATTAAATGCTAAGGGAAGAGGGGGTTCCCGAAGGTCACATGTGATTGCCAATAGAATGTTGCTTTACGCCATTTTAGAAGTTTTCAGATAAAGAGATTGTCCGCTTTAGGTGAAGTGTCTCAATTTTGATTTATGCATGGTTTCATTATTGACGGAACCTCTTTTTTAAGGTAATATTCAAAAGACCAATGACTTTTACTTTTAACGCCGACGGTAGAGCGCTCGCTCCGTGATCGGAAGGTCGTGTGTTCCTATCACAATTGCGAGTGACCTAATCGATAAAAATAGGTAGCAACTGTTCTTTCGCCAGGAGCTCGGCTCTTTGAAGTGAAAACTGCGGGTCTTTCGGATGAGACCTTAAAAACCGTGTCACGATAGGCATGAGCACTGCTCAATTGCCCAAAGAGTAAAGGTCTAAATTTGAATCCCTTCACCGGTATACGGTGACGTCTCTATATGAGTGAAAAATTATCCAACGGGACGTAAATCAACACACAATCAATCAATCAAATTCACGCCGAAGACTTAGCAAAGGAATTCTTACGATGTTATTTAATTTTCCATAAGTTATCGCCCTTTAATCGAATTTTAGATGACCATTTTGTCGGCACAAAAACGTAAAAGCGGCAAAAGCTAGAGCGCTGAAATTTTCAGCGATTATAGAAAAGAAGTTGAAGTTTGGCACCTGGGTTTTGAATTTTTCCGAAAATGCCTAGTATGGAAGCTCGATAGGGTTCGAAATTTAGTACATGAATCAGAAGTGAATTTTTGAGACATTTTTTATCATATCTCCAAAAATATGAATATTTTCTTAAAACATATTGAATAGAAATTGTGTAGAATTACAAGATCTTTTATATGATATCAAGAAAAAAGGACCGACTCATCACATTAGGGGCCAAAAATCTTTAATAAATAACTCTTTAACGATCAATAGAATACTAAATCTTTGACGCTTTATATCTCGAAAGTGGGAAATATTTTGATACGCAATATTGAACAAAAGATGTTCAAAATAATGTTCTTAACAATATGCAAACTTCTGATTTTTGCTAAAAGTCCCCATTAAGGAATTGAAGGGCCGGCCCCTAAAGAAATCTTTCGCGTATATCTCGGAAACGAAAAAGAATTTTTGAATAGTTGTTCAACAAAAAGTGTTCAAAATCATGAGAGCTTTAAGGTGATATCAAGGAAAAGGGTCTGACCCCTAAAATAAGGGACCGAGAGGGGCCGAAAGTACACAGTCTATAACTCTTCAATGATCAATATTTTGTAATATATTACTGAAGCGAAATACTTTAGTCTTCTATATAATTGGTGTCCTTTATACTGTGATCCTTTTTCTCTCTGCTATGTTGAAGCAGTCCTATAATCTGTGCGCTGAATTGACTCATGTTGGTCCCGACCTCGACCAAAATACAAAAAATCAGCTGCATGAGGCAGTTTGACAAAATAAGAACCTATCGTTTTGAAAATTTGTAGCCTTATGTTCTCTCCTATATTAACATTTTAAAAAGAGTTACGATAATGAATACTGTATTCAGAAACAGTTTGATATCAAAACATAAATTTTATTTTACATGAACGACAAGAGAACTAAAAGGAAAATGAAATTTAACAACCGCATTTTCCTTTAATTACGTTATCCATTGTGTCGTCATTCGTATCAAGTTAATGCTAGTACCACCGGAGGGAAATCCAAATCAAAAAGGAAAAGTGAATTTAAAAAAGCCAAAAGACGTTATCAAATTATGTTTGTTTGCACGGGGGGGGGGGGGGGGGGAAGGATTAAACTGGCATTTTTAAGCACATATTTATAAGATTCAGGAAGCAAATTATGCAATCAATTTTTAGGGTCTCTTGTTAAAAAAACAGTCAGTTTTATTTATATTAACGTGTGATGTTGCATTTATTGGGTTTGATTAGGCCAGGGTTATAACTGTTATGCCATGTTATGCTGAAGGTAAATTAGAAATGAAACAAAAAATTGTCCTGCTATAAAGAGAGAGAGAAAGAGATAAAAACAGATAAAATGGTTTTAAAGCAGCTCCATTCATTGGGAATGAGGATATGGTGATTTTTTGTAATTGAAAATGTATTAGACCACTGTGCACCCCAATCATTTTGTTGAAAAAATTTGGTAAACTAGAAAATAAAATTAAGTATAGTATACAATTATTGCTGTTTTTGAGGTCAATACGATTATTTAGCTCTTCGGGGTCGGTGAATATTGTACTCCTTAGGTGGCTTAATTACGTATTGACTGTAAAAATAGCAATAATTTTTATTATACGAATCACTAATTAAAATGTTAAGAACTCATTAAGCAGTTCATGCCAACTTACTTGTTTACATTTGCTGAAGTCCTAGCTTAATGTATTGAGAGAAGCGGGTTTAAATAAACATAACCAGTCACATTGATTGGGAATTTTTAAAATCTACTTTAGTTGCTATGGAAAAAAAAAAGAAATAATGTCAGGCTCTTTTTATAGAGTAGATTTTGAAAGGGGGGGGGGGCATTATCAGGGGAAAAATGACAGGTGAAAAAAATCTTTCTTTTTTTTTTTTAGATTAGCCCCAACGAAAAGAGAATTCTTTTAACTTTAAATTTTGTGTTATTGTTGGGGTGGGGTGGGGTTGGGGTTAGGGGTGAGGGACTTAGGTCCATTAGTGGGGGACCAGTCTTTCAATGAATATTTTAGCCTAAATTAAAAGTAAAAATTTATGTTCAGAAAAAAGTTGGGGGCGGGGGGAAGGTCCCCTGCACCCCCCCCCCCTCCAAAAATATATATATCCCTAATGTTATGTTCACCTGAGTGGAATTCGGTAACAAGTGAAATAGATTTCCAAAACTATTTGTATCAGTATGAAATTTTCCTATCTATTTTTTGACTAATGTAGAGAAAATAAATCCTTATATCCACCTGGAAGGGCACGTTCAGGTGAATATGATGCAGTATTTTTTGTACATAGTTGCATCTCACCCAATCAGATATCAGATAGGTAGGAATCTTTCTATCATATATAATAAAAGTGTTTTTCTTTTATTCAATTGTTTAAAAATTCAATCAACAAAAAACGATGGAAATATTATTAAGTGGTTTAGACGTCGGGATCGATATGCCTTTCACACTTCGATACGGATACGGATTTACGTGAAATAGAAATATCTCTACAAGTGTTCAATATTTTATTTTTCTCTCTCTTTATATATATTTTTAAATCCTCTCAAAAACCACAACAGAACGATTTGTAATTTGTTTGGTTTTATTTTTTTTTTTCATATTAGAGACCCTGGGTAAGAGTTTGCCTACATTTTGATCAAATTTTACATAAACAGAGTTTACAGGAAAAGAATTTACTTCTTTTCTTCTTAACTGAAATGCCATGTTAGTCTTATCGAAACAACCCAACATTGTGAGAATTTTGAGACACCTTAGCGTCAGGCCGGGGCCATATTTTTGTTTGGATATGAAAGAAGAAAATTTATTTTTAAAGAAAGTATTAAGAACAGTAAAATGTGAATATTCGCCACTGAGAGCATCATGGCAATGAACTCGAAATACGATTTGTATATAGTAGTAAACTTGTTCATTTGTAAAGAGAAAATGACAATTTATGAATATGAAATTGTTCAAATATACCTTAAGCTGTTAAAGATTTGTGCTGTAAGCAATACATTTCATTGGATTTTTTTAAATACAGTCTATTGTATCCAATACTAGGCTAACACGTAAGATGTGTACAGCCTTATTTAACAAATTATGCTGACAAATCTGTTAGTAAAATGTGCATACTCGCTTCTTTTATCCTTGATGGAGATGGAATAAGAGCACCCAAAATACAATATCCATAACATAGTACAACAGGTCTCAAAATAAACGCCAATCGGTGAAATTGATATTTTTCAAGTTTTTACCCAAAAAAAAGGGGGGGGGGGTATATTTTGTTCTGCCTCAAAACTTACTGCCTGATTTTGCTGAACAAAGTATTGCTTACTGTTGTAAGCCTATAATTAACTGTCAGTAGAAACTATTATTAACTATTAATGTATTATATTTTGGAAATATATTTATTGGAATTTTTCTGGCAGTAGTTGTAAAAATTCAATGCCCCGCGCTTGCGTGGGATTTTATCTAATGCTTTGTAGTCCTTAGAAGAGTGGATGAGAGTAAAAATGAAGCAGAGTTTTCTTTCACAAAAGAAACAAAGATTATTGACAACAATTGAACAGATACAGATATTTTATCTTAATTTGACCTCACATTACATGCAACTGTGACGTTATTGTATTCAATTGGTTATGGCAATTCAGGGTACTGTTACGTGTCTGGAACAATGCTGAAACCTTATGCTCAGACTAAGTAGATAGGGCCTCGTTTAACATATTTAAAACATTCGTAATATTATACTTTCGTTTCTAATTCTAAAGTATTTTTTGGAAACTAACCCAATTAAGTAGGTCTATATTAGAGTATTTGTATCAAATATAAACTGAATTCTCTCACAATTTCATAACATGGGATACTGTTTTACCCTTAATATTAACCATCTTTAAATTTTCATTTTTTATTTCAGGTCATCCAGCGCTATGGCTGTTTCCATTGCAGTTTCGACCAAATAACATAGACTATTCAAATCTTGTATAATGATGGTGTTGGATCTCCTATCTTCTTTTTCTAAACAAATGTACAATTATAAAATATTTGTTTAAGCATCCAAACCACAGACGCTTGATCTTTTAAATATTTTCTTTATAAATAAAACATACCATACTTTAGTACATGTAATAACAAGGTGCGTTGTATTAACCATCTTGAATTATTCATTTCAGCTACTTTGTCCTGGATATTTAGCAAGTAACATAGCCATTTTCTTTAAATACTTAAAGTTGTGTAAAGTTTATTTGAATATTCTAAAAGAAATGTCACAAAATGTTGAGGTGCCCATTCCTCCTCTTGCCTATATATGTGTACAGTATATGTATGTTCTGAGTTGTAATACTAATTTGGCACAATTGTTGATTTAGTTGTTTTAGTTGCTTTTATGGTACTTATCAATTAAATAACAGTGTACTTCATGTGATAAGACACAATTCTAGAGATTGTCATATGAATTTATAAAATTATATCAAAGTGCAGCATTATAAATATCTTCAGTTAATTAGCTCTTCTGGGCTGAGGGTTCAAAGACCTGATGCTTGGTCATTTGTGCGGTGTGCGTCAGTATTTTGGAATGTTGGTCGTATAAAAAGTTGACGTTCATACCCACAGGGACCGATAAAATACTATGTTTGATTTTACTTAATCACTTTATATACAATACGATTTGTTCGTGAAACATTGATGCCACCGTAGCTTTTGGCGAAGGTTAAAGTTTCTTAAATGCAAATCAAACTCAAAGGTCAAGGGACGTTGTTACTTAAAGAAAGGGCTTGTCTCAATGAATATATATTTGAAATACGAAGGTCCAATCACCATGATAAGACTGAATTGATGCTCTTTTGTCCAAAACATAAAATAGAGGAAGCTTCTACATTCAATCTTCCATTTGGAGAAAGCTCGATCAGCGACTCTCCTTTCGTAAAGAACCTTGGAGCTTTTTTCGACCGCACTCTAAGTATGGAGAAAAATTGCAGTTCAATAGTTAAAACATGCTTCCATAACATCCGGAAAATCGTTCGCATCCGTTCCTATATTACTGACGACGCATGTAAAACTTTTATTAATTCACTTGTGACTTCCCGACTCGATTACGGAAACTCATTGATTTACGGAATAAATAAACAACTTGTGAACAAGCTACAGATAGTTGTAATTTTATAATAGGGTTTTCAGTACACTAGTAATATTTTATGTTCTTATAGTTTATAAGGTCTTTTAGTTTTCCCCCCTTTTTTACGCACATGCATATGCATTTTTTTTTTAAGTAGTTTGTTCTTCATTTTGTATGCTTATGTGAATTTAAATGTTAAGCGCACTAGAGTGTCTTTATTATAATGCGCTATAGAAATTATTGTATTGTATTGTATTGTATCACTTACCATCGAGCAAAACTTATGGCAATTGCTTAATTTTTTTTTAAATCTGGGTCAAACTTCAAAGTCAAAAGGATCAAATAAAAGGTACCCAAGGGAAGGCCTTGTCATAAAAAATAAGCATGTGAAATATTAAAGCCTTAGCACTAAGTGTTTAAATGTTATGGCTAAGGTTAAAGTTTTTCAAAAGTAGGTCAAACTTGTTGGCATCCAAAGGAAGGCTTTGTCACAAGAATTACACTTTTGAAATATGATGGCACTAGTACTAACTGTTTAAAACTTATGTTAAAGGTTAATGGGTTTTTTTAAAAAAAAAATTGGTCACACTCAAAGGTCAAGGCCAAAAATATTTATATCCATGGAAAGGACTTGTCACAATGAATACAACTAATGAAAGCCCCAACTGCTAAGTTATGGCCAAGGTTCAAGTTTGGTAAATTCAAGAGGTCAAACATGTTGGTACCCGAAGAAAAGTTTTGTCACAAGGAATACACATGGGTGAATTCAAAAATAATGATCACAAAATTGATTTTTTTTTAATCAACTACCCTTAACATATTTTTTCACTTATGTCATCATATTGTACATGCATTCTAGTTAAAATTCCCGAAGTTGCAATAGAAAAGACAGTTGGATAAAAAAAGAAATCAGAATTTTTATTAGTAAAACTTAATTTGAGAAAGAAAATATCACTACGTCCTAAAAGTCTTTCTAAAATGCATAATCAAAAGAAATTACAGTTTTTTATGCTTCAAAATGGTAAGAGGGATATAAATGATTAGATCTTAACCTTGATTAAGTTTCTTCTCTTGTATATGTGGAAAAAATTTGCTTTTTGTTTGCTTTTTTACATTATTTTTTTCAATTCTGGTTTGAAAAGTTTTAATATGAAAGAAACATGAAACAGAAGAATTCCCACAAAATCACTTTTTTGTCCATTTAAGTCAATTCTTTAAATCTAAGCCTAAAAAGAATTTTGATATACAAGATTTGTAACAGAAAAATACTAGATTTTGAAGTGACCCTATTTTACATTATTGTGTTGCATTCCTGACATCTGATATGTATTTTATTTATCACACAATAACCCATCCTTAGTTCGTAAATCAGTTCGTCGTTTTGATATTTTTTATCATTTAGGGCAAGTTTACCATATTTTCAAAATTTCAAAACGTGATTATTTACAATGTTTAATATTTATATATTGTATTCAAAAATATGTGTTAAGTGATGAAAACTATCCTCTGAATTGACTGTAAAATAGTCTGTAATTAGTTGATAGACATGTTTAGAACATCAAATAGTATCAAACATTTTTTTTTTTTTACTATTTATTTTTTTTTTAATAAAGATAGATTAAAATCATTGATAATTATGATAAAAAAAAATTTCTGTTGCACTCTTGACTGTAGTAAAATAAAAAATCAAACCATAGAACACAAAAATTCATTAAATGATGGGGAACATCATGTGGTAATGAAATTGTGCAATGTTCATACTCCAATTTTTCATAATTAAAACGCATGAGAATATTTAAAATTCGCTTTATATCTGGAATTGTTCCCTATTTATGTCAACAACAAAAAACTAGCTGAAATATATATTTAGATGGTAAAATATTTTTTTAGTATATTGTCCACCACGGGATAAACAATGTAAGCAACTGAGGTCAACCAGAAACATTGCACTCATCAATTTTTTCTCTATATTTATATAACATATTTGTTGCACTCCAGCCACTCCTGACCAAAAGCATGGGAATCTTTAAAGTAGAATTGTGATACGAAAATTACATTAGAACTTGTTTTGTTTTTTTCAGTGAAGCTGAGGTGGAATTACTTTAATTTTATAACAATTTTTCAGTATGTTTATTTAGATTAAAACACATCTGAATTGATAAAATTGAAAAAGAGAAGGGTTTTAATAAGACTGTCAATAATTTAGTACTAATTTTTTCAAATAGATTATTATTTATTAATTAAAGAGTATTTTTAGCATGAATAGAATTCCGATCACCGAGCGAGTCAATGAGATATTTGACAGGTATTTAGTATCTAAAGACATATCCTGAGATATAGAAATTTATTCCCATTACCTGAAATTTTATTCCAGGTTGATAAATATATTGTTTGGTCATTTTTTTAATTCACCAAAATGTGAAACATGAAAGCCATAGCTCCAACCAATTAAAGTTACGGGCAAGGTTAAAGTTTTTGCGGACAGACAGACGGACGGACAGAACAAAAAACTGTATACCCCTGAATTTTGGATTACGGGGGTATAAAATTAAATCGGACACTTTTATCACAATCCTTTTGCTTTCATTGATGCAAGGAAAAGGGGATATAAACTGGAAACATTGTGACTAAGTGTAACATGTCGAACTGAATGTTAACTCATATCGGGGGTCGTATCTTATCAATTCAAAGGTTGGGTATGATTACAATACATAACAATTTTTTTTAAATAAATAATTGGCAAATAATTGAAAACAGAGACCTGTAAATATATTCAAATATAATGACCTAGCCTTATCTAGGTTAATAATAACGACGACAATATGGAATAGAGAATCAAATAGTAACTAATGATTGGGTGAATTACAGTGTGTAGACTATCAGCCTTATACTGGCCATCCTCGGACTCATGCTTGTGCTGCAGCCTTAGTCAGGACACAGTCAGTACAAGTGACAGCCTTTCAACTGCTGTGCACTATGCTAGCCTTATTCAGACAGACACACTGCGCACAACAGCCTGGTCGCCAGACAGGTCAAGAAGACGAATTACAGCTGACTAACCTCTGAGTGCCTTCCCACTGCAAAACACGACAGCCTTTGTATTATTATCCTTGTAGACCTTACTTATCTCATTAAGTCAACCTCTTCTGTAAGCTGACTTTATTTCTTTATTGTCTCGCCGCTATAATGTTTGCTCACGTCCTAGCACAGCTTGCATTGACTCTGGACACTGAGATACAGCCTTTATATACACGTCTTGGCACAGCTTCACGGCCAGGAACACGTTAAGTTCCTTTACAATACCGTTATCAGAGACTTTTAAAGTTAAGCACTAAAATCGGTTCGTTGTCGTGACCTCACAGGTGAGATTGAGATGATATCCGTCCGTTGTCATAACTTCAGAAAAAGAATTAGTTTAATTTCATTTTCCAAGTGAGTTAATTGATTACAATCCCTCAAATTGCAATGGGGAACATAACTGACAATATATTTGTTGGTGCATCAATAACGTTACATATTAACAGGCTTTATTACAGTAGTTTGCGTTGGTGATACACCACCCTGTTAAAAACTTATTTTGATTTGTTTAAACTTTCTTTGAAATGAACATATTTTTCTTTTATACAATAAACAATACTCAACACTAGGTACAGGTAATATTATGAGGTATTGTTAGCCCCTGAAATAAAAATCAAAGCTAAGTAAAATTGAAAATTTTTGCTATAATTGAAATTATGTCCGTTGTCATGACAAGTCAGGAAAATTCAGTCCGTTGTAATCGGTGTGTTGTCAGAATTGTACAGTATATAACATTTGTACACTACTGTTTAATGCATTTTATTTATCAATTATACCTGAAAATAGAGGGAAAAGATTTTGGAAAGGAAAACCGGTCATACATGTATCATTTGTTCGAACAAATATCTAATTTGTCCGAATGAATATCTAATTTGTCCGAACAAATATCTTATTTGTCCGAACAAATAATTTTTTTTTATCTGGCCCTCTAACGGCGCCGTAGGTTTCCAACAAGTGCTATTAAAAGAAAATTTAAAAGCATGTTTTATCGATAACATTGCACTGATTCTTCTATAATTGTTTCTATGAGAGATCCTTAATAATGTAAATTAAATACAAAGGACCAATCTCGTTATTAAACATAAATAATTGCATATATCAATGCATGGGTAGACGATTTAATGGCAAATGAATTTAAGATTTACTGAGCTTCAAAGTTAGACTTTTAAGGGTGAACACCTTAGCAGTATGAAGCGCATGCAGTGGTTAGAGCATTTCACTCTAGTGTGGAGGAGCTAGAGAATTGATCCTTACGTCACTGGTTCGAATTTCAACACGGACGTTAAG